CAAATGACTTTTCCTTCTCATAATGAGATGCTTTTTAGTGAGTGAGAAATAGGCGGGACTTCCTGTGTTCGGTTGTGTTTATTATTTTTTGCAGAGCCAAATATCGTCCACAGAGGTAAGCTGTACGTTTATTTGCATGCACACGGGTTAGATTCGTTTTAATTTTGCAAATGCACCCGTTTTCACTGCGAATGTGCTTGATATAGGAGACGTTTTCATAATGTATTGCAATGACATAAAACGTTGTCATAGATCATGCACTGCGCTAACTTGAGCTATACGGTTTTCCGTTCGTTTACACCAGCTGCTGTTAAACGGAGAAGCGCACTGGTTAGTTGAGGATAATGTTATAGAATATTATTTTAGAGCCAACAGGGTAGATGTATTCAAAAAGCAGGACACCAGTGAAGCGAGCACCGTTATGGGTTGCAGAAATGCGCTGCATTGTGTATGATGTCATCATCTTCCATTTTTACTGACGCACTGTCCAATTGAATTATTTTGGTACATTTTACACCCGTTTCAACCTGTTAGAGCGTTTATAGTCCGAAATGTGTCCAGTTAGTTGTTACATTATGTATAAGAAAAATGGACCTGTTAACTGAGCAGGCGCGCTGAAAGTAGGCTGCACTGCCATGAACGAATATTACATACATAGCCGAACATACATGCAGTGCCATTCATATATTACAGAACATTGCGCGACCGATTGCATTTTGCCAAACAGATATAAGGGGATTTTAAAACAATGTATCAGTTGTTCTTTCTTATTTAATAGAGAGGTGAGTCATTGTTGTGTAATGTTTTTCTTCTTCCCATATTTATCTTTTCATTTTTTTTTTTTTCTCTGAAAAAAATCGTTTGCAGAGATGCATTCCTCTGTTGAAATCATTAACGGTGGTTTACAATAAACTATATTATAATAAAATATAATAAAATGAAAATAAAGTGACAATAAAATATAATGAAATAAAGTGAAAATATAATATTGATTTAATTTATTTAAATGTATTTATTTTTGTTTAGAACCCCCCCCCAATCCCATTTTGATCTTTTACAGAGCTGCATTCCCCTGTGTGCAATTATTAACTGTGTGTGTGTGTGTGTTTGTGTTTTAATATTAATATATTAAAGATAATTAAATATTCATCAGAAATTATTAACACATTAACTTAATCAGATTAATCCAACATTCTGGTTTCTATTAATCTGAATATACATAAACACCTTATTCAGAATATCCACTGTAACGAACTTTGATTTATATTATATCTGTGCATGTCCAAACAAAAATATATCTGGATGATATACAGACAGTTCTGAAAAGTCAAGCTGTTTAAGAAAAACTTGTTTTGAATGATTTTACATGCATATTACAAACTTTACGTAACAATATTTCACTTTTATGGGATTGTGTTTATATTAAGTTAGAAATTAATGTGCATATCTTGCAATTTGCTTATTGTATGTACACAGGAATTCCAATAACTGATCAAGTTGTAACAACACTGTTGACATTAATCACAAAAATATGTGCACGTAAATATGGTCAGTGGTCAAAACTTTCTTTCATTCCTCATTCATGCCTACAATGAATTTGCTTTTTATAGGTCTCCCATTCGCAGAACATCTTGCATCATGCCAGACCTCTTAGTGATTAAGAGCTGCTTCCTGAGTTGCTTATCAGTACTGCTTCAGACATCGAGCTCACAGCAGGACGAGCAAAGCCAGCTGCTACTGGTGTCCTTTGATGGCTTCCGCTGGGACTATGTGAATCGAGTACCCACACCCAATTTCCGTGCCCTGATGGATGAGGGTGTACAGGTGGAACAAGTGGAGAACACCTACATCACCAAGACCTACCCAAACCACTACACCTTAGTGACAGGCTTACACGCCGAAACCCACGGCATTGTTGCTAACGAAATGTACGACCCCATTCACAACCGCTCCTTTTCCATGGAGGGATCTGAAGTGTACGATGCATGGTGGTGGGAGGAGGCTGTGCCGTTGTGGGTCACCAATCAGAAGGCTGGGCTGAAGAGCGGAGCTGCCATGTGGCCTGGATCAGATGTAGCGATTGGTGGAACGTATCCAACACATTATTTGAGTTATAATGCGTCAATGACATTTGAGACCCGAGTCGAGAAACTCATTGACTGGTTCTCAGGGCCAGAGGCCATCAATTTTGGTGTCTTGTATTGGGAGGAGCCAGACGAGAGTGGGCATAACTTGGGGCCGGAGAGCCCACTAATGGATGTAGTCATAGCAGACATCGATGAGAAGTTGGGATTCCTCAGGGGAAAGCTCAGAACCGCTGGCCTTTCTGACAAAGTCAATCTCATTGTTACAAGTGATCATGGAATGACACAGTTATCACATGATAAGATTATTGAGCTGGACACCTACGTCAGCCGCGATCTTTACACATGGATAGACAAGAGCCCTGTAGTTGGCATTTTGCCGAAAGAAGGTAAGAATGAATATAACGCATTTGTTATCGCTTATTACACTAGTCATTTAATTAGGTGTTTCTTCCACTACCTTCTTTTATTTTGTTTAATAAAAGATCATATTAATATAGGGGAGGACAAAATGACCAAAATCACGATAAGAGTAATTTTGTTTCACTGTACAGATATAGTATTTCACAATATAGTTGTTTTTGCTTTAAATAAGGTCTTTAACAATTTTAAAACCATAGAAATTTCATAATTCTTGTCACCAGTGGCAATAATCACAAAAACTAATACTAGCCTAATAAAAATTCAAGCTCACTGAAGACAAGTAAACAATCAGCAATTAAATAAGAATAAGAAACTAATTACAAGCAATGGGGCAAAACAAACTACAGCAGAACAAATAAATAAGAAATGCTACATACATTGTATAAAGTAATCAACTGTATAAAAACACTACATATTATTCACTGTGTACAAGAAAAACAAAAGTGATTTAGTCAGGAGCGGTGAAAGATTTTCTCTCTTTTGTTGTTTGATTAACATGAATAACAGACAGCAGGAATATTAGACTGCTATCACTTTAAGAGCTGCCTGGGTCCAATACACGTTTTTTACACTGTGTGTACGAGGATACTTGCAAAGATGGGCATTTGACATACAAGTGTGTGTATTTAACCATTCAAGGCCTATAAAGCAGCAAAAATAACTGTTCAATACTCCCGTGCTCTGAGCACCGTCTTCACGTGTGCGCGCCTCTCTGACAGTGCTCAGAAACTGTCTCTCAGACAGTGTGCGCATATAGCAAAATGCATTCTCTTTGGCTGCTGACTGCATTTCAACGGCTTAAAATCACTTGCTTAAAATGCTTACAAACTCAGGCAAACAATACGCTTTCATGACCACAAAGCACAGCAACGTCACGATAGTCCAAAATATCTACCGGTTCTACCGGATAATCGTGTATACCAGTATATAGCCCACCCCTAAATTAATATTGTATTGGAAAGTTTTACCATGCCTTAATCTTATATTTTTGATATTTTTCAAAGGCCTTTTTCTTTGGTATAGATTTTATCATTTTACTAATTTGCAAATGTGTGAAAATCCATCATAAAATATGAATTATTAAAACTATGATATTTTATTGTAGAAAGTAATTTACATTACCGTTATCATCACAGAATATAACACAACAAAATATGCCTTTTTAAATGGCAAAATATGCCTATAGTTCAAGAAACGGGTGTTTCTTGAACTGTAGGCATATTTTGCCATTTAAATGTTATCTCATCAATGTTATATGTTTGGTGACACATGCTTTATGGTTTTTGAGTGTTATTCTCTTCTTAACCCAGGCAAACTTGAAGAGGTCTACAATTCGTTGAAGAACGCCAACCCTAACATGGTTGTGTATAAAAAGGAGGAGATCCCAGATCATTACCACTACAGACACAATGTCAGGATCATGCCTCTGATCATAGAGGTCAAAGAGGGCTGGACAGTCATGCAGAACAGAAACGGATCTTTTATGTGTACGTATTAATATTTACACATAATTTAAGCAGAACATAGTACGATAACCTATTAAAGGAATAGTTCACCCATAAATGAACATTTGCTGAAAATGTACTCACCCTCAGGCCATCCAAGAGTTTATTTCTTCATCAGAACAGATTTGGAGAAATTTAGCATTATATCATTTGCTCACTAATGGATCCTCTGCAATGAATGGGTGCCGTCAGAATGAGAGTCCAAACAGCTGATAAAAACATCACAATAATCCACAAGTAATCCACAACACAACTCCAGTCCATCAGTTAATGTTTTGTGAAGTGAAAAGCTTAATGATGGATTTGTTTATTACAAAAATGAAGCTATTTGCTTCACAATTGATGGGCTGGAGTTGTGTTGTGGAGCTGTGTTATGTGGAATCGCACCAAACAAAAAAAAAATCAACATTGTATTTGGTCCGGACCAAAGCAAGTGAACTAGCGGACTTTCCTGGTGTGAATACACCCTAAGACACTCATTCGGACGGCACCCATTCACTGCAGAGGATCCATTGGTGAGCAAGTGATGTAATGCTAAATTTCTCCAAATCTGTTCCAATGAAGAAACAAACTCATCTACATCTTGGATTGCCTGAAGGTGAGTAATTTTTCAGCAAATTTAAATTTTTGGCCGAACTATTCCTTTAATGTCATTGACGTGCTTACTAATCAGTATCAGAAATATCTTTGCAGTTATCTAATGATTACATGCTTGATTTGCAGTGGGAAACCATGGTTATAACAACAGCCTTCCCAGCATGCACCCTGTGTTTGTCGCCCGTGGACCCGCTTTCCGCCGCGACTACACCAAGGCCTCCATGCGCTCCGTCGATCTCTATCCTCTCATGTGCAGCATTCTTGGTCTCAAGCCCTTACCTAACAATGGCTCTTTGTCAAGAGTGCAGGATCTCTTAGTGGAGACATCAACCCCAAAGCCAGTGGTCCCACCCGTGCCCAGAGAGCCTTCCTGCGCGTGGGCCGTGGGATCCGTCCTCGGCGCTGCCCTCGTGATCGGGTTCCTCTTCATCTTTGTGCAACAGGTGACACAGCGGCAGCATCTGCCACTGCATCTGTCCAACAGTGAGATAACACAGCCTTTACTGTAGGGTCAAACACAAGGGTTGTCGGCACTTTTCTCATTTGAGGTTCTCAATGTAGCACTGATTATTTCTCCAGTGCCACATCTCGATTCATTCTAAAATAATTCTGATAACACTTTTTAAGCAGCCAGCATGGTCGCTTGAATTCAAAAGCGATCGATATCCACGGTAACGTGCCAAAGCCGAATATACCAAAAGCAATATGGGGAAAGATGCTACAGTGGAAAAAGGTTGTGCAATCATCAAAATCATAAGATGACTAAGCCAATAGTGCCCTCTTCTGGTGAAGCTGTCAGTGATACCTTTATTCTAGTCATCTAAAATCTAGTATTTGAGAGAAAAAAAACAAAAGTTAGCATCACCATGCTTTTCCTTTTCAATTTGAATCTGATATTTATTTAATAAAAGAGATTTGCCCTATTCTCTTGAATTTGCATTAAATTAATATTCTGGGTTCAAACTGATAGCATTTGTGGCATAATGTTAATTATCACAAAAATTAATTTCCTTGTCCCACCTTTTATTTAAAAAAAAATTTAATAAAATCAAATAAGATCTGGGATATAGTAAGGCACTTAAAATAGAAAACTGGGCCAATTCATAAACATTAAAATACTCAGTGTTTCAATAGTATAGACACAGGTGGCAAATAGTATGAATGTTAACATGATTTTAGTGAGAAAAATTACTTTCTAATCTTTTCTGTGTATATTTATTTACAATTTTACATTTTTCCCATGACAACGCAATGCTGTAAACCCTAAAAAGACTGTAAAAATTATTTAAACAGCTTTACAGCCCAAATAATATGCAAACTGTAATAGTAAAAAACAAAACAAAAAAAGCATTTTAAGTGATTTTATAATATGATAAGCTTCACATTTCTGCTTTTAAATCCTCAAAAAAATGCCCTATTTTTTCAGGAATCTGATGAATAGAAAATTCAAAAGAACAGCATTTATTTAAAATAGAAATCTTTTGTAACATAAATGTCTTTAATGTCACGTTTAAGCTCAAATAATTTCCCCATTTTTTTATAAAATGGTAAGCTTGGCCTCATTTACTTCCATTGTAAATGCCTCATTGTAACCTCCATTTTTCTTTTTTTAATAAGCAATTCGAGATATGTTTTATGTTGATTAACACTCTGCCACAAATGCTGTTGATTGAGTTTAACTTGTATTGAACCCAGAATATCCCTTTAACTGAATGTAATGGATATTTAAGATTCTGAACCAAAAATTGAAGGGACGTTAGTAGCAGTTGCTTTTTGAATTTGATGTTATTCTCATACCCATCGTAGTTTTGTTTGTTAATTAGTTAAATGCAGTTGTTTAAGTTGGCATATTAATGTTAATAAGTGGTAATGAAAAGAAGCTGGTAGTTGTCAAACTACCTCCGTGTTGCACTAAGATCAATGTAAGCTAATCAGGATAGAGAGAAGTATTAGACTAATGGGGTGTTTTACCTTATCTGCTTTTTGCACAATGTAATACCATCCAAATGTATATTAAAAAAAAGTGTGTATGCGCCAAAATCCTCAAAGATTGACATAGTAGTAATAGTATAAGTCCTGCATTAATGTATTTTGTACTTTTTGAAAATAGCATTTAACAAAAATGCCCTGTGTAGGGCAAAACACTGTGACCTGTCTTCTACTGGTGCAAAGACTAAATGGAAAATAATATTTATGATCTTTGATATAAATGTTGCTGAAGTAGTAGTAGTTAGCTGCTTGCAGAATGTTAGGATTGTTTGTTATTAAGAAGGAAATTTTGACTTTCTATATGGACGTGTGCAGAGACTGTGTTTTGTGTTAAGTATTTCTATGATTTACTGGATTTGTCTTACATGTTTTGGATTTTATGGCCTAATGTCGGATTTTGATCTGTCAAAAGACCCATAACTAAAACATTGCTTCAAATGTGCTTCATTAAAAGATAAACAAATGCCCGATTTGGAAACATCCAAGTGCTTGATATCTACCTAGTGCAATTAGTAGTCACAACCTATTTTCCCTACAGTGACTATCATTACAGAAAAGTTAAGGGTCGGTAAGATTTTTTTAGCAATGTTTTTGAAAGTATCTTTTGCTCACCAAGTCTGCATTTATTTGATTAAAAATATGGTAAAAACAGTAATTGTAAAATATTACAATTTAAAATGACTTGTATTTGAATACATTTCAAAATATAACTTATTTCTGTGATGCAACGCTGAATTTTCAGCATCATCACTCCAGTCCTCAGTGTCACATGATCCTTCAGAAATCATTCTAATATGATTTGGTGCTCATGAAACATGTAGAACAAATAAATAAGAAATGCTACATACATTGTATAAAGTAATCAACTGTATAAAAACACTACATATTATTCACTGTGTACAAGAAAAACAAAAGTGATTTAGTCAGGAGCGGTGAAAGATTTTCTCTCTTTTGTTGTTTGATTAACATGAATAACAGACAGCAGGAATATTAGACTGCTATCACTTTAAGAGCTGCCTGGGTCCAATACACGTTTTTTACACTGTGTGTACGAGGATACTTGCAAAGATGGGCATTTGACATACAAGTGTGTGTATTTAACCATTCAAGGCCTATAAAGCAGCAAAAATAACTGTTCAATACTCCCGTGCTCTGAGCACCGTCTTCACGTGTGCGCGCCTCTCTGACAGTGCTCAGAAACTGTCTCTCAGACAGTGTGCGCATATAGCAAAATGCATTCTCTTTGGCTGCTGACTGCATTTCAACGGCTTAAAATCACTTGCTTAAAATGCTTACAAACTCAGGCAAACAATACGCTTTCATGACCACAAAGCACAGCAACGTCACGATAGTCCAAAATATCTACCGGTTCTACCGGATAATCGTGTATACCAGTATATAGCCCACCCCTAAATTAATATTGTATTGGAAAGTTTTACCATGCCTTAATCTTATATTTTTGATATTTTTCAAAGGCCTTTTTCTTTGGTATAGATTTTATCATTTTACTAATTTGCAAATGTGTGAAAATCCATCATAAAATATGAATTATTAAAACTATGATATTTTATTGTAGAAAGTAATTTACATTACCGTTATCATCACAGAATATAACACAACAAAATATGCCTTTTTAAATGGCAAAATATGCCTATAGTTCAAGAAACGGGTGTTTCTTGAACTGTAGGCATATTTTGCCATTTAAATGTTATCTCATCAATGTTATATGTTTGGTGACACATGCTTTATGGTTTTTGAGTGTTATTCTCTTCTTAACCCAGGCAAACTTGAAGAGGTCTACAATTCGTTGAAGAACGCCAACCCTAACATGGTTGTGTATAAAAAGGAGGAGATCCCAGATCATTACCACTACAGACACAATGTCAGGATCATGCCTCTGATCATAGAGGTCAAAGAGGGCTGGACAGTCATGCAGAACAGAAACGGATCTTTTATGTGTACGTATTAATATTTACACATAATTTAAGCAGAACATAGTACGATAACCTATTAAAGGAATAGTTCACCCATAAATGAACATTTGCTGAAAATGTACTCACCCTCAGGCCATCCAAGAGTTTATTTCTTCATCAGAACAGATTTGGAGAAATTTAGCATTATATCATTTGCTCACTAATGGATCCTCTGCAATGAATGGGTGCCGTCAGAATGAGAGTCCAAACAGCTGATAAAAACATCACAATAATCCACAAGTAATCCACAACACAACTCCAGTCCATCAGTTAATGTTTTGTGAAGTGAAAAGCTTAATGATGGATTTGTTTATTACAAAAATGAAGCTATTTGCTTCACAATTGATGGGCTGGAGTTGTGTTGTGGAGCTGTGTTATGTGGAATCGCACCAAACAAAAAAAAAATCAACATTGTATTTGGTCCGGACCAAAGCAAGTGAACTAGCGGACTTTCCTGGTGTGAATACACCCTAAGACACTCATTCGGACGGCACCCATTCACTGCAGAGGATCCATTGGTGAGCAAGTGATGTAATGCTAAATTTCTCCAAATCTGTTCCAATGAAGAAACAAACTCATCTACATCTTGGATTGCCTGAAGGTGAGTAATTTTTCAGCAAATTTAAATTTTTGGCCGAACTATTCCTTTAATGTCATTGACGTGCTTACTAATCAGTATCAGAAATATCTTTGCAGTTATCTAATGATTACATGCTTGATTTGCAGTGGGAAACCATGGTTATAACAACAGCCTTCCCAGCATGCACCCTGTGTTTGTCGCCAGTGGACCCGCTTTCCGCCGCGACTACACCAAGGCCTCCATGCGCTCCGTCGATCTCTATCCTCTCATGTGCAGCATTCTTGGTCTCAAGCCCTTACCTAACAATGGCTCTTTGTCAAGAGTGCAGGATCTCTTAGTGGAGACATCAACCCCAAAGCCAGTGGTCCCACCCGTGCCCAGAGAGCCTTCCTGCGCGTGGGCCGTGGGATCCGTCCTCGGCGCTGCCCTCGTGATCGGGTTCCTCTTCATCTTTGTGCAACAGGTGACACAGCGGCAGCATCTGCCACTGCATCTGTCCAACAGTGAGATAACACAGCCTTTACTGTAGGGTCAAACACAAGGGTTGTCGGCACTTTTCTCATTTGAGGTTCTCAATGTAGCACTGATTATTTCTCCAGTGCCACATCTCGATTCATTCTAAAATAATTCTGATAACACTTTTTAAGCAGCCAGCATGGTCGCTTGAATTCAAAAGCGATCGATATCCACGGTAACGTGCCAAAGCCGAATATACCAAAAGCAATATGGGGAAAGATGCTACAGTGGAAAAAGGTTGTGCAATCATCAAAATCATAAGATGACTAAGCCAATAGTGCCCTCTTCTGGTGAAGCTGTCAGTGATACCTTTATTCTAGTCATCTAAAATCTAGTATTTGAGAGAAAAAAAACAAAAGTTAGCATCACCATGCTTTTCCTTTTCAATTTGAATCTGATATTTATTTAATAAAAGAGATTTGCCCTATTCTCTTGAATTTGCATTAAATTAATATTCTGGGTTCAAACTGATAGCATTTGTGGCATAATGTTAATTATCACAAAAATTAATTTCCTTGTCCCACCTTTTATTTAAAAAAAAATTTAATAAAATCAAATAAGATCTGGGATATAGTAAGGCACTTAAAATAGAAAACTGGGCCAATTCATAAACATTAAAATACTCAGTGTTTCAATAGTATAGACACAGGTGGCAAATAGTATGAATGTTAACATGATTTTAGTGAGAAAAATTACTTTCTAATCTTTTCTGTGTATATTTATTTACAATTTTACATTTTTCCCATGACAACGCAATGCTGTAAACCCTAAAAAGACTGTAAAAATTATTTAAACAGCTTTACAGCCCAAATAATATGCAAACTGTAATAGTAAAAAACAAAACAAAAAAAGCATTTTAAGTGATTTTATAATATGATAAGCTTCACATTTCTGCTTTTAAATCCTCAAAAAAATGCCCTATTTTTTCAGGAATCTGATGAATAGAAAATTCAAAAGAACAGCATTTATTTAAAATAGAAATCTTTTGTAACATAAATGTCTTTAATGTCACGTTTAAGCTCAAATAATTTCCCCATTTTTTTATAAAATGGTAAGCTTGGCCTCATTTACTTCCATTGTAAATGCCTCATTGTAACCTCCATTTTTCTTTTTTTAATAAGCAATTCGAGATATGTTTTATGTTGATTAACACTCTGCCACAAATGCTGTTGATTGAGTTTAACTTGTATTGAACCCAGAATATCCCTTTAACTGAATGTAATGGATATTTAAGATTCTGAACCAAAAATTGAAGGGACGTTAGTAGCAGTTGCTTTTTGAATTTGATGTTATTCTCATACCCATCGTAGTTTTGTTTGTTAATTAGTTAAATGCAGTTGTTTAAGTTGGCATATTAATGTTAATAAGTGGTAATGAAAAGAAGCTGGTAGTTGTCAAACTACCTCCGTGTTGCACTAAGATCAATGTAAGCTAATCAGGATAGAGAGAAGTATTAGACTAATGGGGTGTTTTACCTTATCTGCTTTTTGCACAATGTAATACCATCCAAATGTATATTAAAAAAAAGTGTGTATGCGCCAAAATCCTCAAAGATTGACATAGTAGTAATAGTATAAGTCCTGCATTAATGTATTTTGTACTTTTTGAAAATAGCATTTAACAAAAATGCCCTGTGTAGGGCAAAACACTGTGACCTGTCTTCTACTGGTGCAAAGACTAAATGGAAAATAATATTTATGATCTTTGATATAAATGTTGCTGAAGTAGTAGTAGTTAGCTGCTTGCAGAATGTTAGGATTGTTTGTTATTAAGAAGGAAATTTTGACTTTCTATATGGACGTGTGCAGAGACTGTGTTTTGTGTTAAGTATTTCTATGATTTACTGGATTTGTCTTACATGTTTTGGATTTTATGGCCTAATGTCGGATTTTGATCTGTCAAAAGACCCATAACTAAAACATTGCTTCAAATGTGCTTCATTAAAAGATAAACAAATGCCCGATTTGGAAACATCCAAGTGCTTGATATCTACCTAGTGCAATTAGTAGTCACAACCTATTTTCCCTACAGTGACTATCATTACAGAAAAGTTAAGGGTCGGTAAGATTTTTTTAGCAATGTTTTTGAAAGTATCTTTTGCTCACCAAGTCTGCATTTATTTGATTAAAAATATGGTAAAAACAGTAATTGTAAAATATTACAATTTAAAATGACTTGTATTTGAATACATTTCAAAATATAACTTATTTCTGTGATGCAACGCTGAATTTTCAGCATCATCACTCCAGTCCTCAGTGTCACATGATCCTTCAGAAATCATTCTAATATGATTTGGTGCTCATGAAACATTTCTTAACAGCTGTGCTGCTTAATACTATTGTGAAAGTACTGACCCCAGACTTTTGAACAGCCTTTAATATTAAATATTAATAGTGTCGTAAACCAACTAGACAGACACATGGTGGAACTCACAGGCAAATCTTTAATAGTTGCAAAAATACAAGGGGAACTCGTGTGCAGTTATGCTCTATAATCTAAGAAACTCGTGCATACAACCAACAGCAACAATTCATCAATACAGCTGGTGAGAAAAGACTAAAATAAGAGGCTTTGAGCAGAGCGCTAACCCAGGCCTAGAGCTGAAGAAAAGGCCAAAGGAGGTGAAAGGCATGCGTCTGACAAAAAGAAGCCAAGCAATATGTGAAGAGGCAACTGAAGCTTTTTGGTTTCATCTTTAAATGGCATCAATATCAATGTCCTCCTCCTCATGGTCTGACTTCTCAGGTTTTGTGGTCTCCATTTTCAACTCGCGGGCAGAGGAGGAATACACCACCTAGAGGAAAGAAAGATGAGAGTAAATTCTGTGCTAACAATGTTTATCGAATAACTAACATATACTATATTTACAATGATCTTATTATAAATCTAAAATCCTGGTTATGAAAACTGATGTAATAACATGGCTTTTTTTTTACCTCAACATTGTCATCGTCATCATCTTCCTCTTCCTCCTCGCTGCCCTCACTCTCCTCCTCTGCCTCTTTGAGCCATTTAACAAAGGGCTCTGCCTTGGCATGAATCTCTTTAGCCAACTCTTTGGAGACATACTTCTTAGACACCTATAGCAGAAACGTCACCAACAGGCTTAAACTCCAGAACACTAGACTAGTCAAGTGTGCGTGCTGCTATCAGACCCTGGGCTTTTCAGCAGCATGCAGGTCACAGACGTTACCATATTACAACCCCCTCCGACACGCAGGCTAAAATGACAAGGGTTGCCTAGCAACAGGTAACAGACCGCATCATCCTTTCATCCATGTTATTTCAGAGAGCTGCCAGAGATCAGAATTGGATTCATGCATCTAAACTACTTTTATCTGAGCCACGTTCAACTCTGACCTACATCGTTTCATCTGAGATTCTAGAAGGTCCAGTCTAGAGGCTGCGTGTTGGCAGGTTACCTTTTCAGCCCATGCGAGTATGACATCTTCCTCCAGCAGATCCGCGTCATACAGGTCTTTGAGTATAATGGGGACTCTGGGTAAGAGCTGCAGCTGATGCAGCTTCACCAGGCACTCAAAGCCACCCAGAAGATATTTCTGGGCTTTCTTATTGTTGTGGCAGAACTGTGGACAGAAATGTAAACTTCTTAAAATGCAAACTTATTATAGTGCAATAACAAGCCAGTATGACAGTGTTATTTGTAAAACCAGCATTAGTGCATTTTAACAAAAGGAATAAGGTTTGTACGCATGGGAAGTCTTTGCTGTTGTAGGGCAGGCTTCCCAATCAGGGGTTTCTTAAAATTACAGTTGAATCACTGATGTCACATGGACTATTTTAATGATGTCCGTACTATCTTTCTGGCCCTTGAACATGTCAGAAAGCTCTTGGATTTCATCAAAAATATCTTCATTTGTGTTACAAAGATGAACGAAGGTCTTATGGTTTTGGAACGTCATGAGGGCGAGTAATTAATGACAGAATTGTCATTTTTTGGTGATCTAACCCTTTAAATTGTGAATGCTGAATGACTAAAAAAAAAAAAGTTATGTGAATTCATTGGTCAAAGAGTGGGAACCTTAAATTAAAATTCAGCTCTTAAAACGTTGAGAATCAGTGTTTTAAATGTTAACAGATATGAGGACGTACCCTGAGGAAGTGGCGCTTGTACTTCTTGATCTGTTCACGGATGTTCTCATCAAAGAGCAGCTCGCTCAGGATCAGAGGACCCATGGCCTTCACATCCAGCCTTTCAGCCTCAGCCAAGATCTCTTTATCTGCCAAGTCAATTGCTCCACTGTCTTTCTTTTCCTGAAGGGCAGAAACAAAGAATGGAGCTGAATGAGGAAAGTGTCTATATATAGAGAGCAATTTCCCCAAATTTTCAGTACAATTTTAAGACAAACACCTTCACAAAGTTGTAAAATATGTTGACCCTCTCCTCCAGGGATTTCTCCAAGTCATCAGTGAGCGTGAGACCCTTGGCGTGCTTGCTGATCTCCTCCATCCTGCGACGCTGGGCCTCTTCTGTGGTCTCCTCAGCCCAGTCTTCATCGTCATCCCCATCCTGTCATAAGATCACATTCAACACCGGTGTTTCTCATCTCTTACGCTGGTATGTGGTTTTTCAGGAGATGATCTCAAAGCAGCACTTACCACAGCATCAGGGGCATCTATGTCATTATGGTTTCCAGCTTCTCCACCACTTGAGCCATTCTCTTTGTCCTTCTTTCGGTTCTTCTTTTCCTTTTCTTTTTTCGCAGATCCACTGTCGTTCTCTGCACCAACATGACAGGAGAGAGGAAGTTAACAAAAGAGCAATAGAGTTTAGTTCATGAACATCATATCAGCATGGCATAGGTCAGAAGATCAGAGTTTTTGACTACCATTACTGCAGATACATACTGCTTACAAGCACATACAAAATCCAAAATAGATTAGGGTTACCCAAATACCCAAGCCTTCCTTCAGTTTTATTTGAAAGTAAAGGTTTGTGGAACATTAAAAGGACAATAAGCACAATATGAAAATGAAGATAATCATGTGTTTACCACTGGGGATTCAAAATATCTATTCACCGTCTCTCTAAAGTCTGTATTTACCTGGTGGATTCTTGAGAATGAAGGTGCAGAGTTTGTGTCTAGTGTCCAACATGCCTCGGTAACCACAAGCCTTGCAGGAGTTTCCAATGGTCTGCTTCTTGGGATTAATGTGCTACAATGAGGAGAACATTTGACTTTATTAAACTATATTCATAAACAGGCTGTGCGACAATGATCCAGCTACAAATCTGTGAGGCAAATT